AAAATAAAAAAAAAAAAAAACAAAGAACAAAGAATCAAATCAATTAGGGGTACAGTATTTTTAGAGCTATTAGAGCTCATTGTTTTAGTGGTCTGAAACAATTTTCATTTTAAAATACAAACCAAAATCTTGAATTGAGCAATGTGAGCTGGCACAAGCCTATTGGCCCACCTTATGTGGAGCTCCTGTACCAGCTAAGATACGCCTCAGAATTGACTCCACTAACATACGCCCCCACCTTCGCAAATTCACTTTTCATCCCTCACAAATCCACAAAATTACAAATAAACCTCCAAAATCTCCATTCTTTCGCAGTTCCGTATTCTCTCTCGCTCTCTGCATTTCCTCAACTGAGAATTACTCTCTGTCTCTGTCTCTGTCTGTGTCATCAATGGCGGTGAGGGCAACAGTGGCTAGGTTTCCGATGGACCCAGACGCACTGGAGTCGTCGGGGCTGCCGTGGGGGGTGACAATAACGCCGTTCGCCGCCAAGGACGAGAGCGGAAACCCTCCCCTTTACGGATCGGACGGCCATCTTCTGCCGCGGTGCGAGAACTGCTGGGCCTACTACAACACATACTGCGAGCAAGAACAGTGGGCTTGGACTTGCTCTCTCTGCGGCACTCTCAATGGCCTCTCTTCCCAGACCATCTCTCGCTACTCTCTCCCCGACTCCTGCCCCGAGAACATCTCTTCCTTCATAGATCTCGAATTGCCTAGTAATCACTAATACGTTTTTATTTTTTTTTGTTTTTTTCCCATTCTATGCATTTCGATGTGTTTATGTATATAATTGTTGAATTGGTTGCTGAAGATATTTGAGAAATGAAAATCGAGTCAAAATTCGATCTCCTTTGAAACTTCGATATAGAATGAAAATGAGAATGAGTATGCGAATTGTTGAATTAGTATTCTAGAGATGAGATGAGGTTGTTTAATTGGCTTTCGAATCGTGAAAACTTAAAATTCAGAATATTTTGTTGAATGTGTTGAGTAATCACAAAGATTTTTGAATCATATGCATTTGAATGTTTGTACGTATTTTTTGTATGTGTATATATTTGTTGAATTGGTTGTTTGGGAATTGAAAATCGAGTTGAAATTTGATCTCCTTTATTTTCATGTGCAAAAGAAAGGGAAACTTTGGTATAGTATGAAAAATGACAATCGGTATATGAATTTTATTGAATTACTATTACAGAGATCAGAGGTTGTTAAATTGATTTTCTAATTGTGAAAACTTGAAGATTCAGAATATTTAGGTCTCCACCTCATTTTTGTAGTAACAAACAGAGAATTAGGGTTTTAGTTGTGACTTAGCTTTATATGTGTGTTTTTGCATGTGATCAATCTGAGATTAGTCATATCTTGTTTGTTTCGTAGTGGAAGGATATGAAGAAGAAGCAATGCAGGCCCGTCCAGTTTATGTTGCAGCGGTTGATTTGTCATGTAAGATTTATTATGTTTTTTGGTTTTGATTTTAGTAGTTTGCTTGTTTATTTTGTTGGAATGGATTGGAAGTTTCGTCCTTTAAAAGTGATAAATAAGTAGTTTATGGCGAAGAATTTCCACTAGTTGTAGGCAGTAATTGGAAGCGTTTGTCCTTATGTCACTGTTGGACTTGATTGCTAGATTTGCAATTCTTAACGTGTTTAATTTTAAAGTTTGTCTTGCCCTCCATAGTAAAAATTTTTGTCAATTTTTTTCTTTTCTTTTTTGTTTGTTTTTTCATTTGTAATTTAAAAATTGGAAAGTAGTTGAGACCACTCTTACATTTAATACCCTAAAAGGCTTAATTTCTGTTTTTTATAGAAGTAAAATATTCAAATTGTTTTTGTAGACTTGACCTACTAAATAGATCCACAATATATAGTGGTAATTCACGATTGAACTTTGAGTGACATCAAGATGGTAGTTGGTAACTTAATTGTGGTCTTTAATCTTTTCATGTTCAGTGAAGTGGCTTTCAGCAGAAATTATAGGTTTTCAGCCAGTTTGCATTATGAAGTAAGGAAGTATTTTGAAATTCTATTAGCATGGATTTCATTTTATTATTATTATTATTTTTTGTGTTGTTAGAAACTGAAGCTGGCTTGAATCAAGTTGTGATTTGGTTCAATGAATCTCATTGTTCTAACACCGTTGGACTGTTAAGTTACAACTAATAAGATCATAAAACACACAGATTTAATTAAAAAAAAAGGAGAAAAAAGAGATCAAGGTACACATGTAGGTAGGGCTGCAAATGAATAAAGCCGTTCGTGAACAAGCTTAAGCTTGAGCTTGAGCTCGGCTTCGTAAAGGCTCGTTCGAACTCGGTTCAGTGAATTTTTATTGCTTTCAAGTTCGAGTTTGAGCTCGTTAAAATCTTAATAAATAACTCCAAACATACTAAAGATTGGCACGTTGGCTTGGCTCGTTTAACATTTATTTAAATAATAGAATAAACATATTATTTATGTATTAAATAATGTAAAAATATGTATAAAAAATATGATAATATGTTATTTATATATTTAAGTAATATAAATGTAAATAACAACTAAATTTATTTATATGTAAATAATAGCTAACTATAGATAATACATTTATATAATAGCAGGAGTAGATTTTATTAATTATATTGCCTCCTTTTTTTTTTTAAAGTATATTTATTAATGTTTTGTATAATTAAAGTTTTAATTGTAACTTTGATTTCATATGCAAGTATGAATTTATAATTTCTCTGGCTTGTTAAGGCTCAAGCTTGAGTCAAGCCTAACCCAACTTGGCTTAAGCTTGGTTCGTTAAATTTTTATTGAGCTCGGGTTCGGATTTGAGCTCGAGCTCATTAAAATTTTAATAAATAAGCCCAAACATATTAAATCTCGGCTCGGCTCGGCCCGGCCCGGCTCGTTTGCAGCCCTACATGTAGGCTAGCACAAATCTTGCTATTTTATTACCCTGAATAATGATGAGTGATAGCTTTGACTGAATGTCTTATCCTCTCTTGTAATCAATAAGAATTCATCCTTTTATATCTAAAAGTGGCCAAACATCCTACTGTTTGCCTACATATATAAGGGAAGGGGTGAACTAGAAGCCCAATGAATAACATCAAAGTAAAGGGTTTAATGAATGAGTTCCAACACTTAAACATTATCATTTTTATATCAAATTCATTACATAACAGAACGATCCCAGGTCCATTATGGCCCTGTTTGGTAGGGCTTATTTCTAACTTATTTCAGCTTTTAGCTTAATTTAAGCTACTTTGATGTGTTTGGTTCAGTTTAACAATACAGCTTATAGCTTTTTGTAAGTCAAAAATCAACTTATTCTTTGAGTGGGGGAGGAGAAGCTTAATTTATAAGTAAAAAATCAGCTTATGTTCACAGCTATAAGTTATAAGCTGTTAAGTTTTAAGTTAAAATCACTTTCCTACAGCTATATCAAACGGGGCCTATATGATAGAACGACCTCTGGTCCAATACATGGTAGAACGACCTCTGGTCCATAATGTAGCAGATACGACAGATGTACTGAATAGAACAAAACATAGCTAATCAGAATGACCTTGGGTCCAATTGATTACAGTTGCATCAAATCAATATAATGACCATTTGGTCAAACACATTATCAGAAATGCAGAACGACCTTGAGTCCACCTTATCAGAAATATAGAACGGCCTTAGGTCCATCATACACTTTTACACTTCACCAATTATATTCCCAAATAGCGCTAATCAGAATGACCTTGGGTCCAATTGATTACAGTTGCATCAAATCAATATAATGACCATTTGGTCAAACACATTATCAGAAATGCAGAACGACCTTGAGTCCACCTTATCAGAAATATAGAACGGCCTTAGGTCCATCATACATCAATTTATTTTACAAATTATATTCCCAAATAGCATATCGTTCAAATGGATGGAAAACTCATTCATATTCAAGAAATCACAAGTTTAGAAAAGCTTACCACAATAGAACATTTAGAAAATAGATTATACGAAAATATCTTTATTAAGATATTACTCACAGTGATTAGATTGTTGTCACGTCTCCGTGGATCAACCTACACATGACACATGATCATACACATATTGAAATACATAGCTTAATTGAATCATTCCTTTCTTATTCAATTCCTTGTCCATTTCTAATTAATTTTTTCATTCATGAGACTTAATTCATGCCTAAGAATGCTTGGAAAGAAATGAGAATGAAAATATGGACATAATGCGACTTTCAAAAATATGCTGGAACATGGCAGTTCGCTTGAGCGCACGATTGTTCGGATTGTATGGTCTGCAAAAGTACTAGATGCTCGAAATCTAGGCTCGATGGTCGCTCAAGCCAAGTGTAATGAAAATTGAGGTTTCTCGAGCGGACTCTTGGTTGCTTGAATGTTCTACAAAACTTTGCAAAACTACTGGATGCTTGTAATGTGCGCTTGAGCGGTAACTTCATTGCCCGAGTGACGAGGTTGAATTCTGAGTTTTCAAAACAGAATTTTGAGCTTCAAAACAGTAGTCTATACTTCATAGGTTTGCATGGTTGGTCCAAACACTTAGAAATACTTTGAAAAACATAGAAGTATAACTAATTTGAAACCATAGATTCAAAACTCCATGAATTTGACAAAATTGAAAACAAAACCTCCATGCATGAGGAGTTTTAAACTCATTTCTTCAAAATTCTCAAACCTTAGTAGCAAGAATCGTGGAAGGGACTCACGTTTTTGAGGAGGAAACGTGATTTTGCGCTTCTGAGGAAGAATCGCATATGGATCGCGCTTCTACTGCGAGAGAAATGCGATCTTGAGCTCTCGATGATCGAGTAGCAAGAATCGTGTAACATGGAGACGCACTTGAGGAAAAATCGCAGATCTGCGGTTTTGAGGAAGAATCGGTAATCTAATGAGATAGAAACGTGAATCAGTCCAAGAATGAAGCTCGATCTCTCTCGATCTTCTTCTCTTGATCTCCTGTACAAGAATCTCTATCTTCTTCTTC